CCAGGGCACATTTAAATACACTTTACAACTAGAAGAGAGACAGTGTGGTATAGTGAAAAGCTGGCCTGGGAGCCAGGAAGACCTGGGTCCAAGTCTTGCTTCTGATTTATATGGGTTGTGTGATGCCACCAAGACACTTAGTCTTGTAGTTCACTGAGGTAGCTCTATAAGACTCAGTTGCAGAAAAATTTACTGATATGCACTGGTAGAGGGAGTTCCCTCACTGGGAGTCTTCCATACCAGTAGAATGGGGAAGGGAGGGAAGAGAGAAAGGTTATAAAACAGTTTACAAACTTTATCTACTTGATCCTCACAAAGAATCTGTTAAGGAAGTCATTTTGTGGATAAAAAACTGAGGCCAAAAGTGGTTAAGTGATTTGTCCAAGGTAAGACTTGAGCTCAGACCTGTCATCAAGGCTGGTGGTGCTCTTTTCACTCCATCATTACTATCAATTAACTATCAATTGTCTTACTTTTTGATTTCCTTACCTCACTTGTAGAAGAGTAATCTAAATAGAGTAAGAACGGATATTTATATAATGCTTTTAAGGTTTACAAAGCACTTCACTTACACCTGAAGCAGCTAGTTGGAGCAATGGATAGAGAACTGGTGTGTGAATCAGGAAGACATATTTTGATGAGTTCAAATCCAGCCTCAGACACTCACTAGCTGCATGACCCTGGGCAAATCACTTAACTGTGTTTGCCTCAGTTTTCTCATTTGTAAAATGAGCTGGAGAAAGAAATGGCAAACCAGTCCAATGTCTTTGCCAAGAAAGCCCTAAATGGGGTCATGAAAAGTTGTATGTGACTGAAACAACTGAACAACAAGTTACTTACATCATTTCATTTCATCCTCACACTCCCCCTGTAAGGGTAGATGCCACAGGTATTCTTGTCATCCTCATTCTACAGATGAGGTGCAAAGAATTTAAATGGTTTTAGGATAACCCAGTTAGTAAATGTTAGTGGTAGGATTCAAACATAAGCATCTCCTGACAGCAAGGTATACATTTGTCAATATACCACCACACTGACTTGTTTTCAAGTAATGTCATGATGGTAAAAACCAATCAATATTTGAAGAAAGAACCGTAATTTCATTAGTAGAAGGAGCATGTGATAATAGAAGGAGGGTTATTTGGAGTCAGTGGAGCAAAGTTCCCTTTTTGGAACTTCTTCTGTTTGTTACCTATTAGACCTTGAGCAAGTCACTTCCCTTTTACGTCCAAGTATTTGCATCCATAAAATGAGGGGGTTAATCTAGATGAAAGGTTATTAACCTAGGATTGGTGAGATTGTTTTTCAAAAATATTTTGATAATTCCATTTCAATATATTTGATTTCCTTTATAACCCTCTGTGTATTTTATTTCATGGGTGTGAAAATATTATTATGAGGAGGAGTTCGTAGGCTTCACCAGACTAGCCAGGTCCAGGATACAAGAGTTTGAGGACCCATGATTAGGGTGGTCTCTAAGGTCCATTTTAGTCTTCTCTTCAACAGCGATTATAACCTCTTTAGTGTGACAGTTTTCTGAGTCTTCATGGTCCAAGTCATTACTGAGTTGCTATTTTTCTGGAGATAATCTTCTCTGAACTTAACTGGGCTATTTCTCTTCTAAGATATAGCTCCCTTAGGCCATCAGTGGATCTGCATTCCAGGCCTATTCAGGTTGGTTAAATACTCCACAGCCCATACTCTACAGGCGTAGCTTTTGAGAACCAAGGGTCACCTCCTAGCCACATTGAAGCTTCAGACAAGGACTTAGCAGAAAAAAGGTGGTAAGTGGTTTCTGGAAAACATCCTTGAATTCTCTCCTGGAAAAGCTCAGACACTGCTTAGATTCAGGATAAAGAGTCTTCCTTTGTTTCATAACTCCCATTACTTCTGCAGGGACAAACGGGACATTTATCTGCAAAAGAAGCCATTTTCATTGGTGCCCTCTGGTTGCCTCACAAATAACCTGCAGTTTTTTTTCCCTGTCTGCAGACAAAACTCCGTGGAGTTTTACCCCATCTACCTGGTCACCTTCTGGATGGCTGGATGGTTCTTCAACCAAGGTAAATTAAAACTATGGTGATATTTCTGCCTAAATGATGGCTGTGGTATTTTATAACCTTTTGGAATCATCATACAGTTATTCATTTTCACCTCCTGGAAATCATTAAAATGACTTCCAACAAAACGAGGAACAATTTTTTCCCTGCTTCCATGTGCCATGAGATACTGAGAATTTGCTCTAGTTTGTCCGAACTGCAAGGACAGATTTCACTGGTGACAGATTGTTCTCTTGCACATTAAGGTTAGATAATGAACATCTGGAATTGTATCTAGAAAACTGAGGTCTCTAAAATAGAGTATAGGCTGCAGGTACCTTGTGTGTGACTTCTTTTCATAAATGTTCTTAATTTAATTGAACTCAATTAACATTTATTAAGCACCTATTGATATGTTTCAGATTCTCTTCTATTTTTCTAGATTTATTATTTCTTGATGTCTTATAATGTCATTCCATTCCTCTTGCCCAATTCTAGTTTTCAAGAAAATATTTTCTTCTGCAAGATTTTGTATCTCTTTTTCCAATTGGTTAATTTTTTTTCCCCATAATTTTCTTGGATTGATTTTATTTTTTTTCCCTAATTAAAAAAAGAGCACCCACTGTGTACCAGACAATGCGCTAGGCAGAATGAGACAGTCCCTGCCTTCAAGAGTTTACATTTTTCTTGGAAGACATGTACACAGATTAGATTAACTAAAGCGTTTATTAAGCACTCACTATGTACCAGGCAGAACAGCTGGGTGGCACAGTGGATAGAGTACTACACTGGGAATCAGGAAGACTTATCTTTATGAGTTCAAATTCAGCCTCAGACACTTATTAGCTGTGTGATGCTGAGCAAGTCACAATCTTGTTTGCCTCAGTTTTCTCATCTGGAAAATGAGCTGGAGAAGGAAATGGCAAAACACACAAAATAACACAAAGTAGTTTTAACTGGGAGAGAATGTTAACAATCGATGCAGGGTTAGAAAAGGCTTAGCATAGGAGGTAGCACCTACAGCGTGACTGGAAATAAGCTAGGGATGGCAAGTGACAAAAGACATAGAGTAATTGATTACATGTCCATATCAGCTTTACAGTGGTGGCCTTGCTAGGGGCATCTCAGAGAACCAAAGCTTCTACCAGGAAGCTCTGTCTGCCACTGTGATGGCAAGGCAAACCCAGAGTCATTAGTGAGCAGCAAGGGTGGGCCAGATGTACTGCTTTACCTGGGAACACCTCACTTACCTCTAGGCAGACTTACTGCCTGGTCTAGTTAATGGTGACACAGGCTGACCATCAGTTGGGGCAAATCCTTCATCCTAAAGGACTTCATTCACCTTTATTTTGGATAGTTTTGGATGCTGCATTCAGGACTGACCTACGGTTAATCTTTTTCTGTCCTTGTTCACTCATTTCAATCGTGTCCAACTCTTTGTGACCCCATTTGGGTTTTTTGGGGCATAGATCCTGGAGTGTTTTGCCATTTCCTTCTCCAGCTCATTTTATAGATGAGGAACTAAGGCAAACAGGGTTAAGTTATTTGACCAGGGTCCCATAGTTAGGAAGTGTCAGAGGCTGGATTTGAACTCGTCTTCCTCACTCCAGGCCCAGTGCTCCATCCATTGGGCCACCTAGCATGTGCCTCATGTGCACATCAGTTGGGAAAGTATTTAAACACTTTGCAAATCTCAGTGCACTCCATAAGTGTCATTTATTATCATCACTTGCTTATGATTTTCCTCACAACTAATGAGTTTTACATGCAATTCATTTCATAGAAATACTTTCCTTTAACCTTCACTCACCCTGTCGTCTCTGGAGACTCAAATGAAAAGGGCTATTTCATCTGACAAAATAGCATTTCTGAATAACAACAGAATAAATAGGAATAAATATTTGTTGACAAAGCAAATTGGGCCGTTTCTTCTTTGAGCTCATTTTTTTTTAAAGGTAATTGGGGTTAAGTGACTTGCCCAGGGTCACACAGCTAGTTAAGTGTCAAGTGCTTGGTCTGAGGCCAGATTTGAACTCAGGTCCTCCTGACTTCAGGACTGGTGCTCTATCCACTGCGCCACCTAGCTGCCCCCCTTTACTTATCTCTTAATAGCCTCTCCCTTATCCTAGGCCCTCTCCCTTTGATACCCTCATGAAGCCTAGTCTTATCCAGACCCCATTCAACCTCTTCTTTCCCTGTCTTCCAGTCCTGTTATCCTAATGTAGCCTAGCCCTCCACTGTCCAGTCCCCATTCAACCTCCCAAACACTCGTCGAGATTCTCCCTAAACTCCTCCCCCAGTCACTCTAGTTTCAAGATCCTCCTCCCAGCCCCTCCTCCAGTCACCCCAAATTATTTGGTTGTCTGTTAAGATCCATCCTGGCTCCCATTTAAGCCCTGCAATTTCCTCATGCCTGCTTGTCCTTATGAGCGTCACTAATGTTCAGATTCCTTCAGAGTCTGGCCTGTATGGTTTATCTATAATAAATCTTGTCTTTGCCTGAAAGAAGACTTGGGTCGAATTCAATCAGGCAGGATCCGCATGTCGTGATTTTGGGATCTAAGCATCCCTAGCATCTACACCTCAACAAAAAGACTTACCCAGGACAACAAAGATTGTCACGTCTGAGGCAGGATTCTAACCCAGATCTTTCCATTCCCAAGTCCTATCTGCTGCCTGCTTACTGACACTATGTAACAGCATTATGAGAAAAACATTTTATCAACTATCAAGTGCTTAATAAATGTGAACTATTATTCTTTTTGAATGAAAGGCAGGTTTTCATGCTAAAAAAAAATTGTTCCTTCCTTTCCTAATGGCTTCTGAAGCAAACTTCAAAGCTAATGAATAAAAATATTCAGACCATTATGGTTTTTGTGACTTGAATAAAGAATTTACTTTTTGTATTCCAGTTGAACCAACTGCACTGAAAGACAACAAAACACATCTGGTAAATAAATAAATTCATTTAACACTTTATATTAGGTGCAAATAATTGAATGGAAGGATGCCAGAAGGGGAAAAAGGTACAGAAAAGGAGGCATGAACATATCCATGCAAAGAACATCAAAGGTGCCTAGCTCTACCTTGACACTTGAGTGTGTTCACATTCAAAGGAGGAAGGGGAATGGGAGAAGTAATGCAACCAACAGAATGGCTATCAGCAAGAGCTATTCAATTATTAACCAAGTACTCTTAAACAGTGTGGTCTTTATTTGCTCCATTAACATATTCCAAACAAAAAAAAACGACACAGCACAATTTACACTATTGCTTTTACATGATGTTAAGAGGGGTAACTGTCCCATCTTCCATCCAAAACTCCCACTTCTAATTTTCTACAGGTTGCTATAGTGTGGACTGTTTCTAGGGAAAGCAGGGACATTATTATTCTTGGGAGTTCACTGTTTGGAAGGAAAAAAAAAACAGATTCATCCTAGCATTATGTAGCAACATTGCAGCTACATAATTAAGAATCCCAACCTAGACAACATTCTTTTTTTTTCTCAGTAGAAATTCAAGTTGTAATTTGTCTCATGTTTCAAGAATACCATTAATGAAATCTTCCTAATAAAAAATTTGCATGAAGAGGTTTGTAGTGTTGATGAAACTTTAACCTCCATAAACTTACTTGGAGACAAGTAAAAAATGAGAATGGCACAAACATAACTCTAGAATTACAACACTTGGATTAGACCTGGAACAATATTTAAATTAGTGCCTACTCAGTATTCCTCAAAGGTAATCTTCTATTCTTCAATTCTCTATGATTTAAAAAAGAAACTTCCTATATCACATTCTGAGAGTTGTACCCTATTACCATGATGTTACTATTCATGCAAATGCCCTTTCTTTCAAACATATCTCATAGTTATGCCTATTTAATATTGCTTAGAGCTTTTTGGAAGGTAAAAATAATAACTCTTATGAGCAGTTAGAATAAAATATTTTTAAAGAGTTCATATATTTTAATTAGAAATAAGTTAAAATTCAAAGTGTTTTAAATTGAAAAAAAAATCAGAGCAGGAATATTTCCAAGAAATTATTCAATTTTCCATATCATTTTAATAAAATGATAGCAATGAATAATTTTTTTTATCAAGCAAAGTCACATACTGATATGCAAAGAGACTAGTACTGAGATTAACAACGTAACTCCAGATTTTGCCCATTTGTTGAAAGATTGTCTTTCAGAATACATACACACTACAACCCCAAAAGCTACATCTGCAGAATATTCTTGCCACTGGCAAATACCCTTCACCCTGGCACAAATTTTTTAAAGCAATGATTCATTTGTTTGATATTCTAAACCAGTACACATAATTAATTACCCTGCTACTACAATCATATATCTAGACTACTTTGGCATTACAGTCATTCTTATAGAAACAGATAAACTATCCCAAATATTGGTACAAAAACAACAGCATAAAATTGTACTTTACATATATTGAAAATCAAGAGAAGGCAGGAAGAAAGGTTTCATCATAAATTAGAAAATCTATATAAGTATACTCCATTTTTATCTGATGTATGCCATCATCATGCATGTACAATTAGAATGTTCAGTTTGCATTTTAATTTATAGTTTTTGAAGCCTGACTTGGAGTGGCTTCTGGTCTAGTGAATTTTACAACACTTGATTTAGACCAATAATACTCGATTAAATGGCAACCTGACTATTTTATGATGGAAAAAAAAAATCCATGCTGTGCTGTACGTAATACAGCATTGAGGTGAACTGAAGAAATCAGTTACAAAGAGAAAAATTCTGTTTACACAAAATGTACCCTTCCCTACTTCAACAAACCTTTTCTTTTCAGTAAGCATACTGGCAGAGCATGAAGCCAGTTAAAAGCTCTGTCCAAATAAACGATTAAAATGGGAATATGCAAATTTTCATGAGAACTGAAGAAATGACAGTTGTTTTCCCACAAAGTATATAGTTCACATGTCCTTTGAGTTATACTTAAATTATTCCTCGCGTCTATGCTCCTTGTTAGAACCCTGTTGTGTTTGTATTTTGGATTTCTAGCTTAGCAGTTTTTGTTATCACTCCTATTCTTTGAAAATGGAGAACTTCCTTTCCAACAAGATATTTTATTTCTCCTTACAGAAAATCAACGCTAAGTATTCAGAATAGTGTGAATTCTGCATCCCTAGTGCATCAGAATAAAATTTTATCAAATTAAAAAAATAATTCTATTTATCTAAGTAAGAAAATAGTTACTTTGTTGAATGCACAGTGAAATGTGTGTGATATTTATGTTGTATCTGCTACTTTCCAATCCAGTTACTTCCTATTAATTCTCTCTATGACAAGCATAAAGAGAGATTTGTAAACAGATATGAAAGAACAAATATTTGAAAGTTTCGTTCCTTGATATGTCAGAGAAAGAAAAGGATATTTAAACACTTCTCGTGTACCATATGACAAAAAAAAAGTGCTAATACTGTACTTCAACATAAACCAAGCTCATAATAGGCTGGCTTTCATACTATTATAAAGGAGCACTAAGTAAGATAAACTTCCTATCTTTCAAGCCTTTTTGGCTTAGATGCCTTAAGCGCTAAAGTCTGAAATATTTGGAAAGGACTGACAGAAAAATTCTCCCTGTCAAGTAAAGGGCATCTCCACCATGAAGAGCTTGCCACGGCAGCTGCTATTTCATGAAATCAACAAGAAGCAAGGTGGAACCACCTGCACAATCTTCTTTGCAGTCCTCACACTGCAGTAAGCTACCACACAGACTTATTACTTAAGAGATTATTTGTAACGTCTAGGTCTCATATACTTTGCCAAAAAGAGCCTAAAAATGAAACTAAACCATAGAGCAAGAGTTTTCACATTAACCTACATGAATTGACTAATGCTTTAAAAAGGGCTCCAAAGATATGAAGCTGTTATCCCTCACTTAAGTCTCAAGAACAGTTTGGGGTTATTTCACATATAATGACAAAGATTTTCTTGGCAATAAGTTACTTCATATACATATGTAGATAAAAAGGAGGGTTTATGAAAAAAATAATCTACAAAGACCACATACTCACGATTTAGGGATTAATCAGATTCTGAAGATCAGAAAATCCTTTTGAGCTCCAAGCAAAGTAACATACTTTTCACGTGTGTGTGGAGGGAAAAATCTTACAAATACCAATTACTTTTATTCTGAAGGATATTTTATGAACTGTCAGTAAGCCAAGCAAGAAATGATTTTTAATCCTCCTTTTTGCTTCCAATAATGACACCTTCTGAAGTATAATGGGAAACTAATGGCAAAGAACAACCTATTACACTACTTTGGTTGTTTATCACCAAAAAAATAAAATGAGGAAAAGGAATAGGAATACAAATTTCTAAAAAATATCCTAAAACGACTTTCTTGTTGCTACCTACCTGACAGTCTTCAGCATAAGAGAAAAGGTCGTGATTTTACAATGTAATCAGCCTGCTGTAGTACAAATACCTGATTTATGTTTCTTGGCCAAAAGGGCTCAGTCCCAAGTCCCCAGCTATAGATCACATGACCCTATAGAGGAGATCTTTGGAAGGGCAACTTACCTTTGGAGTGTAGTGTATAAATAACTGTAAACACACACTGATTGTCCACTAGCTTACTTAAAGAGGATTTCTGGAATTTTTGTAAGAAATTATGTATAAAAAGTTACATCATTTAAGTTTCAAGTGAAATTGGTCAGAGAAATTCCATTACAACATAGAAAATCAATTTTGTGTGCAAAACATGGTAGGAATCAGAAGATACGCAGGACTGTTCATATTTTTAAAGTAAGTACTACTCTGTAATCCAACAGAAGTCTCTTAATTTTTTCGTGAAATTTTTCTCTATACTGGTTGAAATACATAATGCTTTCTGGTTCTTCTTCAAACCAAAATTTGTCAAACTCACTGAAGAGATAGCCTGTGGTAAAGAAAGCAGAACATCACAAAATCAAACAACCAATAAGCATGTATTTTATGCCTTTAAACTCTAGGCTCTGTGTTAGTAACTGGCAATACAAATACAAAAGTCAGACAGTTCCTGCCTTCGAGAAGCTAACATTCTACTGTCCTTGGAAGCATACTTTTATTTTACTTTATTTACTTGATGGTATTTTTTTCCAATTACATGTAAAGACAATTTTCAACATTCATTTTTGTAAGATTTTGAATTCTAAATTTTTCTCCTTCCCTTCCTCCCTCTGCCCACCCAAGACAGCAAGCATTCTGATACAGGTTATACATATAAAATCATGTTAAACATATTTCCACATTAGTCATGTTGTGAAAGAAGAATCAGAACAAATGGGAAAAACTATGAGAAAGAAAAAAAAAACAAAAACAAAAAGTGAAAATAGTATCTGCATTCAGACTCCATAGTTCTTTCTCTGGATATGGATAGCATTTTCTGTCATGAGTTTTTTGGAATTGTCTTGGATCACTGTATTGCTGAGAAGAGCTAAGTCTATCATAGCCAATCATCACACAATGGTGGGAATTATACTTTTAAAAACTTAGCAGTGACAACTCACAACTCATCTTAATTTTTAATTTTCAATTACTTACTATATTTTCTGCAACATATAACCAAGCCATAAATTCAACATTAGGTTAAAAGTATCTCAGGACATTATGAAAGGCAATTTCTATAAGAGCTTTAATGCACATTTTTTCCTGGTTTTGAAGGGAAAAGGAAAAAACCTGAGAAAGATTAGGGCACTACTTTGAGAAGTCAACATCAGAATGAAACATAAATCTATTTACGTCAAGAAAAAAAGAAGTTTTCTCAATAAGAATTGTGTGGAACTTATATTAAAATTAGCTAATTCATAATAAATTCATAAAAACTGTATTCATAAAAAATTCATAAAAGCTGTATTCATAAAAAAAACAACAATAACAGCTAACATTTACATAGTTCCTACTATGTGCCAGGTATGTGCTAAGTGTTTTATAGTTATCTCATTTGATCCTCACAACAACCTGGGAGGGAGGTGCTAATATTATCCTCCTTTTACAGTTGAGGAAACTGAGGCAAAGAGAGGTTAAGTAACTTGTCCAGAGTTACACAGCTAGTATCTGAGGTGGAATCTGAACTCTGGCCTGACTGTAAGTCCAGCACTCTACCTACTGTACCTTTGTGGTATGTCATGATGACAGATTTACTTCCCATGACAATATATTTCCTTGCATATTGGCTCATAAAGACCAAAAACTATCCTTAGGTTACCACGAAAAAAGAATCTAATTCTATTGAAAATAATTCTTGCTACAACAGCTTAATAGTCTCCTTCTTGGTGTTCTGTCACCTAAATTAAGTCAATAAAACTAACCATTACCTTAAAGTACAAGTAATTGGCATATAATGAGATAAGGATGGAATGAAGGCTTAATTGTGTTATAACTGCTAGCACTAAATACCTTCTAAGAGTAGAATGTAAGCTCCTTGAGGCCCAGGTGGTCTCACTTGTTTTTGTAAATCCAGTTACTATTACCTTCCTCTTCTTTGTCCTAGCCAAACCAGGAAATTCTTCCTTCTCTAAAAGCATTAACTTCTTAACATCATTCAAAAAGAAAGCATTTATCTGAATTTAGTAACTTCACACTAAACATTTTTCAATCACATCAATTAATTCACGTGTTTTGTACTATATTTCATATTTAAAATACTTAACACAAAAATTTTAATGCTTAACTTGAAATGCAAGAAGAGAGCAAATTTTCAGCACATTTAATCTAACAGTCTAATAAAAAAGAGGATTGTGTAGGAAATGATGAATCTTCACTACATGTACTTTCTTTTTAAAGTATATTTTAAATTTAATGTGATAGTTTCAACACTGTCCTGCTTAATTTTTTCCGTGTTAGCTTTTCTTTTTTTTTTTTTCTTTAAAGTATCACTATCATCACTCCCACATTACTCCACCTTAACTCTCTTATGTCCTACCCTCCCACCTCCCCCACCCCCAGGAAAAAAAATATAAACCCTCCTTGCTGTAGGACTTTGCAAGGAGGGATGAAAGGAAATAACTTGAAATGGTATTTTAAAAAAGCCAATAACTTCATAAAATCATGACTTCAGTTAAAGTACTACTACCCGAGTTTTCTCTAAAACTAAGAATAAGCCCACTTCAAAGTGAGTCTTTCCAAAATTTTATTTTATAAGATTATATCCTTTCATTAATCCACTGCAGTATGCATATAAACAATTTTAAATTATATATGAAAAAAATGCATATGAAAAAAATCCTACTCTATCCAAAGATAGGTGAAGATTCAAGAAAGAGAGGTGCAGAATTATTGAGGGTGAAATCTGCTGGTGAAGGCTGGAGAGGATGAGACAAAGGGCACACATAGGAGTTGTTAGTCATCCCAAAACCTATCAGTGGGCTTTGCACTACAGGAGCTGTCTCTCCCATTCCTTCCACCTATTAGCCATCAGTGAGACCTGGATTCCCCAGTGACAATACTTCATCTCTACCTTTCCTCTCTAGACCCAGCTGCATCTTCTCTCACCCACTGACATTGGTCCTGGAGGGCAGTCAGAGTGTTCTTTGCTCTCCACTGTCACTTCTGGACTCTCCATGATGGTCTTCACTCACCTTTCCTCTTCCAAAGGCTACTCAATCAAACTTCCGTTCAGTATGAGTTATGATGTATAGAAGTACACTGAACTCCCAAATTCTGTTCCCTCTTTTCTCAAGGAGCTCAGCACCTGGCTCACTCTCCTCCCCAATCATATACTTTTTACCAAGGAACTTTAATATCCATTTAGATGTTCTGGCAAACTCTCTAACCTCCCAATTCCTTGGCCTCCTTAAATCTCATGACCTATTCCTTTACTCCTATTCAGCCACAGAGAGGAATGGAGACATATTAGATTTAGCCATTACCCATAAACGTTCTTCTGCCCTATGAAGAAACTCTGATCTTTCCTATTCCCTTCTCTCCATGCTCACCCCTCCTAAACCCGCTGATGGCCACCAAAACTCTGTCTTCCCTTCATCCCTGAGGACTCCTGTCTGCTTTCATTTTCCTTCCTCTCCAATGCCAACTCACAAGGTTAGCAATTTTGACTCCATGCTGTCCTCTTCTCTTAAATCCTGGTCACACTGTCCTGCCAATGAGCTTGTCTTGCAGAACCTCAGCCCAGATTCCTTCCACTATCTGGCCCCTCTGCTCACACTGATGAGCTGCTGAGGTCTCACAACTGTGCTGACCACGTATATGATAAATTCATAGAAGATATTCCAAACCCTTCCCAAGCCTCTCATACCAACCATTCCCCCAAACTCTCAGCTGAGAGCACTCACTCTCACATTATTAAAAAAATTATGGCCATTCAACACAAGCTCCATTTTCCCATTCTCTTCATTTTAAAACTCCTTGCCATCACCTTCAGCTGTCTTCCCCTTTCCCCTAGTTTCTGACAAAGTATCCTTTAATTCAGTAAATCCAATCTCTCTACATGTTCCTCTCTCCTCCTCCAGCAGCCTGCATCCTCCAATATTCATCATCTTTCTAACAACTCCAACCTTTCCCTACATGTTGGGTCCTTACTTACTGTTTTCCAGCATACTCCAGTCTCCTCCATCCTTAAAAAACTTCACTACACTCAAACATATCTTCAAGCTATTATTCTATATCTCTCATCCATGTTCCAGCCAAACTCCTTGAAATAAAAGTGTCTATGCATACCATTTTTCACTTTATTTTTGTGGGTTTTTTTTCCTTTGGGTCTGTGTCTTCTTTCATAATATGACTAATATGAAAATGTTTTGCATGATTGCATATGTATAACCTATGTCAAACTGCTTATTGTGTGTGGGGGGCTGGGTAAGAGAAGGAAGCAGAAAATTTGGAACTCAAAATTTTTTTAAAACAATGTTAAAAATTGTCTTTACATGTAATTGGGGGGGAAATAAAATATTTTTTTAAAAAAGGAAGAAAAAATTATCTACCCTAACCATCTACACTCCCTCTTCACCCTTAACTCCATGCAATCTGGATTCCAACCTCAACATTCAACTGAAACTGTTCTCACCACAGTTAACAATGATTTCTTAATTGCCAAATTTGCTAGTCTTTTTCAGTCCTAATCCTTTTTATTCTATGTGCTACATTTGACACTTCAAATCACCCTCTCCTCCTGAATACACTTGCCTTTCTGAGCTTTCCTGACCCATCTTTCCCTAGTCTGCCTCCTACCTGTCTGACCACTCTTTCTCCGTGTCCTTCGTTGGCTTATCAGCCACATCATACTTTCTAACTGTAAGAGTTCCCCAAGGTTTCATTGAAGGCCTTCTTCCCTTCTTTCTCTACACTGTCTCTTGTTTCTTGATAACATCATTAGCTCCCATTGGTTTAACCATCATCTTTATGCAAATGACTACCAGATCTATATCCAGCCCCAGTTTCCCTCTTAGCTTCAGGCCTGAATCACAACCCAAATCTATAATAAGTATCACATAATTTTAACTTATTTCAATACTTACAATAAAATTGATGAAAGTGTTCCATTGTTGGACTACTAGGAACAGAGTTATAGAAATGAACCTTCAAAGCATCACTCTTCAATAAACTATAAGCCATTTCTGTTAGATTGATCCCAACTATTGCATAGGAATATCTGTAATATCATAAATACTGCCGATTACATGCATGACTAGTCAAAGATTTTAATGAAATAAAAACTACTTAAGAGATTATTAAAAATTCCATTCCTAATACAGTACTGATCTTGTACAAAGCCTACTTTCCCCATCATTCCTCCTTTACTCATTTAACTACTCAATGAAGCTCAAAAATGGATTATCTCTTATTGGCATGGAGTTCATTTTTTTCTGGAAATCTTCAAGCACAATTCTTTAATGCTAAATTAATTATGAGAGATTTAGGAACACTACTGTTGGTAAAGGGAGGATTTTCACCTCTGCAGCACCATGATATGTGTATACATACCAATAAGTGAAAAATTTACTAATACTAGAATTGTATCAGAATAAGATTCCATGCATTCTGAGTCTTTAAATATAAAGTTACAATGGAGTAACTTTTTTTTCTGAATGTAACCTGAGTCAAAAATAAAATTCTGACTTTGTAAAACAAAACTGAATTTCAAAATACAATACTAGTTATTAAAGCCTCTACCAAGGTAGCACTATAAGTTAGTATATAAATTCCAAACATAATGAGATATGGATAATATTATCTGGTAGCATTTACTGCCCAAAAAACTACCATGTAATCTCCTTTACTGATTTCTTACTGAAATATTCATTAAAACAAACACATTTTGAACAATACCAGAATGTATCCTTTCTATTTCTAAATGAATTAATTACTAAAACTCAAAATTAATTATGGTTTCTTTAATATATCTGGGCTTACCCCAAAGTTGGATGATTTGAATGACTTAGAATCCGATGAGCTTCATTGGTATAATTTTCACTAAAATACCTAAAAATGTTTAAGAAAAAAACCAATGAAATTAAAAATACCACATTTAGCATACAGTTTCAAAAGCACCTAAAAGTACTACTGTCAAAATAATCTTTATATATTACCACAAACACATCAAACCCTTCTTTGAAATATCTCCAATGACTTGCCTTTCTTTCTGAAATCTAAATTCAAAATTACAGGGCTGAAGTCATATTGAAGAATCTCCACCAGAATATCTCCTATTGGAAGAACTGTAGCTAAATTACCTAAAAGAACAGCATCTAGTCAAGTCACCTTATTCTTGAAGCTTTCAGAGTCTCTGCTGGAATAGCTGACTTAGCTTTTCTATGTGAGGAAACCTGTCCATAATCTCTTCCCTACATCTAACCTTATTTTTCTCTGCTTTAGCAAGCCTATTTTCCTTTAATGGTGTGCTCAGGAAGTCAGAAGACAAATGAATACCACAATGTCTGCAATAGGCTATCTTACTCTTAATTTCTTACCATGTTCTCAGCCAAAGGTAGAACTACACAAGAATTAGCTTAACAGTAAACAGAAACCATAAGCTGTCCCCCTGCCTAGAATGTGCTTCTTCCTTCAGTCTCTGAGAATTTTTACCTTCCTTTCTTAAAGGCTTAGCTACAGGCCTTCCTCCTACATGAAGCCTTCCTCACAGCCCCTAGTTGTTAGTATTATCCCTCTCTTGAAATTACTTTACATTTACTTTTCTATGTATGTGTTGTATCCTTCCAGGATCATGCAAGGTCAGGGAGAAGAGGGACAATTTTTTTTGTGTGTTTGTGTCCCCTGGTGGGATCCAGCCTAATTCCTTGCACATAATAGACACTTGACATGTATTGAATTGCATTATAAATGGTCCACAGAGCTTGATGTTAATGAGGTCATACTCCTCTGAACTCTTCAGTCCAGTCATATTTCTTTTGCAAAGTTAGTAGAGAACCGAATTTGGAGTTCTTGACTTTTCAGAGTAGGTATTTAATAAATTAAAGTTAAATTTTCATCAGCTAATCCTGGAAGCATGGGAATGAGAATTTTTTCATATCATTTTGTTCTCTAAATTTGAGGGGATGTACCCCTCAAAACTTACATAGGGCATAAAAATTTCTAGATAAGCTCTCTCTTCTAATTCCAACCATGTTCATCTTCTCATTGGTTCCATCTTCTTATCAGCGTGGTTTGCAAACAAAGTGCTAACTCAGGAGACAAACAACCTGGGTTCATATGCTGACAATAATGCCTCTAAGACTCCATTTCCTCATCTATAAAGTACCCACAATACCACTTGTACTATGTAACTCAAAGGGTTATTGTGAGGAAAGTGCTATAAAAATATATCAGTATTCTACTGCTATCCTTTGGTTCTCTAATTTTTCCATATCATATCCCAAACATAAAATTAAAGTTTTATTAGACTGAAATATCTATAGTAGATGGGCTTTTTGCATATTATGCTTCTAATGTAATTCAACATCAGTCTGAAATGTCCAATAACCAAACTATGATATTTACTTAAAAAGGTACAATGACTCTCAAACAGTTCCCCCATCCCTTTTCTGCATTATTTATTTACTCATTCCTTATCTCTGCTGTAGCTAATGAGTGATAATTTGCATATCTCTCTATTTATATCAAGTCATAAAATTGGTAAAAAAAAATGTGATTAGAAAAAAAACAAGCACACCATCTTTTACTTTTAACTTACTGAAATTCACACTGTTTATTTCTTGCCATCTTTCTCTAAACTCCTTGGCCTCAATTTCAATGCCTTCCACTTCTGATGCTTTTCCTTATGTTTTCTGGATTCATTTATTCTTCAGAATTTATTATTCTCACCTTATTCTCCTTTATTAATTCTATCACTTGTCCAAAGCTTGTTATCTATACACTACCTGATTTCCTTTAAATTATCCTCCTGTCTATGCATATATATAATGCTTTATGTACACTATCTTATTTCATCCTCACAAGCAACATGGGAGGTTTTACTGAACAGAAAACAAACTCCAAGAAGTTAAGTGATGGGCCCAGGGCCACACACAGCAAATAAAGGTCTGAGGCAGGATTCAAACCCAGTCCTTCTTGACCACAAGTCCGCTCTATTCACTACATTATGCTGCCTTTTACGGCCCAAGGATGACTATGGACAAAGTTCAGCAATGAACAAATTGCTCACTATCTTAAATGGGTCACATCTAACTACTATACAAGACTGCAAATGCTAATTCTGTGTTTTTTACAGTACAGCTACTAAATTTAGGAAGACTTAATAACAAAGACATTCAAATAAATCTTTACTGAAAAGATAAAACAGAAATACTAGCAAAAAGCAAATTAGAAACTCAGTAGCAAAATTAACCTGTTAGGTTTCATCAGGCATTACAACACAACCACAACACAGAACAAATAGCTCCTCATCCTGAAATAGTATTATTTTTTAAATGACTACGGAGTGGCTCTTTTAGATTTTTCCCCAACTCAAAATCATTTAAATTATCTGTCAGAATTTCCAACAAGAGTCTAGAATAAAATTTTATAGATCTTGCATACCTAAATCTAAAGAAAACTGTATTCCATCACAGTTTCAGAGCAAAATTATCTAGAGGCAAGGTTGCTTACAAAGTTGGAGGGGAGGGGAGGGGGGAAGAGTCACCAGCACAAATATATATCTGAGAAAGGTTATATACCTACTTGAATATATGACTGTTGATAACTTTTTAATGGGGAGTTACCAGCATAAATATCTATCTATGAAAGGACAGATACCTGCTTGAATATTTATATGACTGTTAATAACTTTTTAATCAGATGAAAATAAATTACTCAAATTCCATGTTAATTTTCCTACACTGCATAATAGAAAGATGACAGGACTCTTTATGATACAGTAAGGTTTTTTTAGTGTTATTTTTCAATAGTCATTTTCCAATGGGTTTAATCTAATCTAAAGCAAAACTCATTTAGTTCCTCATAAAAGAGGCTACTAACAGCTTATACCAACGATGCTGCTGGCACTGCTTTTTGCTACAAGGTAATTTGGGGAACAGCTTTTCCCTTCTAGGCCTACGATACCTGCAACTCAAAATCTGCTCTATTCAATTGGATTTCCTTATTTAATTGGATAAAATGAGATTCTCAAAGTTTATGGCCACATATCTAGCAACTGTCTAACAGAGCCTCTAGGGGTCTAATACTCCATCACAGTCCAAGAACCCATAGAATCAGTACCAGCAACTGTGACCCACAAGCAGAAAGAAACCAGAGTAAGAGGAGACACAGTTCCAAGCAGGGGAGGGGTCTAGAATTTAATCAGGTGAGGCAGAGCTAGGGGAACCAAAGAACTGGAGCTGGAAGAAACCTCAGACATCACTCAATTCAACCTTCCCATTTTATAGATGAAGGAAACTGAGGACCAGAAAGGTTAAATCCATACAGCCAGCTGGTCAACAGAGGGGAGACTGGAACCACAGATCTCTCCATTACCAGTTCTCTGATAAAAGGTGTTCTTTTCACCAAATCACATAACACCTAACAGCAATGAGGACACCAACTTCCATTGCCTTAAAGTGGCTTCATTTTTCAAATGGTAATCATGAAGCCCAAAGGCAATGTATGTAAGCCAGGAACTAGGACACAGACTTAACACAAAAATATATCCATTTCCTAGGAAGATTCTAGAAGAGAGTTATGAAAAAGTAGGGAAGGGAATAGGATTGGCCAATAAATATACACAAAATACATTTCAACTGTTCTCAGGTCTTGCCTAGCACACAAACAAATGCTGTTGGCTGTGCAGACACTTATCAAGTACAGAGATAACTTGGAACATAAACTTAAAATTTAATAAGATTGTTGAGATACACAATTTCATTTCTAAAATAAAGAAAAGTATATATTTTCACTTACACAAGATTGACTAATCCCAGCAAGCCCATGCCTCTGAAGTCTGTTTTGGGATCATCACCTTGGAAACCAATGTCAGACCACTGCTTGGTGATTCTAGCCTTCAGTTTTTCATGAGGCATCAGCAGACTCCAAAGCTGAACAAATATGCTTCCATATTATAAATAATATAAAAGTCTTTAATTTACCAACCCCTAGCCCTCAATTAAAACCTAATTTAATAATTTCAAGTTAAATATTCTCTGCCAAAAGGTCACAAGTAAATATTTTCTCAGTAGCATTTAAGATGGATTTAAACTTTCAAGTTACCCTTCTGAGAAGTAGTAGAGTACTGACTTTAAATCTGGTTAATTACATTTTTCCTCTTACTGATTATTCCAAGTGAAATAAGCCAAATAAGTGTATAGAAGATCTTGAAAAAATAATAAATAACACAGAGAAATCTAATACACTGAGGTATCAACTGTAGCACATACACTAGAGTAGAGGTTCTTAAGCTGGCATCTAAGAAATTTTTTAATATTCTGATAACTATATTTAAATATAATTAGTTAATTTGTAATCTTGTTGTATTTTATGCATTTAAAAACATGATTCTGATAATAGGTCCTTAGGCTTCAGCAGACTTCCCAAGGACCCATGTCACAAAGAAGATTAAGAGCCCCTGCCCTAAAGGAATTAGTCCAAGCAGTCCATGTCAAAGCTCAGTTATTAGCCACTTTTTCCTTGCACAATATTTGATGCCTTACAAGAAATCTGATTAAGCATACAGGCAGGTTGTAGGGAGGATTAAAGTCATTCTAATACTTAATCAAGAGGAGGAAAGAGGTTGGGATCAGTAATAGTATCATGAAAAAAGCATCAGCACAATGGGAGCTATTAAATTAAACTTAAAAAGAGAACTGAATACCAACAGCAGACGGACATCATACAGAACAGTCAGGCTTTTTCTACTGTATTTTAGCGAGCCTCATACAAAGATCAGACAGGCAAAAATAAGCAAGAAAGGTAACAAAGTCCAATTAAAACACAAAAGTTATTATTGAATTTTCATTTTACTAACAAAATCAAGAAATCTTAATTTTTTTTTAAAAAGCCACTCCTGATGTGTACAATACTTTACCACTTCAGTGAAAATTGAAATTTTGACTCTGATTTAAAACATTGGTAAAAAAAAAAAATCTCTGGATCTGTGGAGCACATCTGGCCCTGAACTTCTTTTTATCTGGTACACAAGTTTCTAAGACTGCCCACTGGCCACCCTGTCCCTTCTCTTTCCTGTGAAGTAATACAACTACACTCCCACCATAAGTAGAGATTTTGTAGTAAGCTCCCAGCGGATAACTCTGGTTGGCAGGAGTGGAAAAGTCATTGGCTAGTCTGAATCCTATCCTGGGGTGGGGAGAGAAAGGGAGAAAGTTGCTAAACTCTCTATAATCTGGGTACTGGCTTAATTAGCAGCGAATGAGCTTCAGCCATCCCTGCTCCTCCATCCCTAGAAGCACTATCTCAGAGCCAAAGGCACATTAGTGTGGGTTAGAATGAACTGTATTTCTTTACTTAAAAGAATGAAAACCAATTCACCTGGGTCAGCCAGTGAGTAGAATTGTTCTGAGGCAGGATGGAAAGAGCAGAAAATGAGGGATAGATGGGCAGATGGAGGGTCCTGTCCTCCCCTCCCCTGCCACTATGCTATTCCCACATAAAAGTCAATCCTATTCTTAAGTCTATGTACTAAATAAATGAAGCATTCCACTTCAACTGTCAACTTTATACAGAGTGAAAGATTTTAGATTTCTTTCTTTCTTAATTTAACTGTGAGCAACTTTTTACTTATACATGGTTCTTCATGATTCTCTGTGGATGAATGACCCTAAACAGGAAAAAAACAAACAGGAGTCAAGTCCCTTCACAACACGGAAGAAGAGGTAGCAGTCACCCTAATGATGAAGTGTAAAGAACACTAGATGTGGAGTTAAGAGATCTGAGTTCTAGTTCCAAGTGCCCAGATATAAAACTTCTGGCAAGTCAAAGTCTCTCCAAACTCAACTTCCTCACCTGCAAAATGAATTGCTTAGATCAATGGTGTGTACTCCTGAGTAAAGACATTCCTGAGTACAGGAACCAGATTAAAATGTAACTGGGAAATATTTAACAAAATAAATAAAAATACAAGAGAATACAGCTAATGTTAATATGTGGGGTTTTTCTTGGGGTTTTTTTTGGTTTGTTTGTTTTTTGGTCTGGGCAACAGGGTTGTGTGACTTGCCCAGGGTCACACAACTAGTAAGTGTAATGTGTCTGAGGCCAAATTTAAACTCCGATCCTCCTGAATCCAGGGCCGGTACTCTATCCACTGCATCACCTACCTGCCCTAATATGTGATTTTCTAAGTCAATATGTAGTCCACAAAGATCCTTTTGTAGCATTAGTTTGAGTTTGATACCACTGAACTACATTATCTCTGAGCACCTCATTTCCATGAGGCCTGTGATTTTAACATTGCAAGACAGTCCCTCATCAGAAACCACAAATGGAAGTTTTTCAGTGATGTGAAATAAGAAAATATTGCTACCCAACTGTCCTAATCTTTAAATATATTTTACCAGATTTGTGATATTATTTGGTACTGAATAACACCACACAAAATGCTAGAAGGGCTGCTATATCAACAGTACTCTGAAAGAAAACATTCATACTTGGGAGTGGAATGAAAAGAATGTCTAGTTTACCTGTATATTTTGTACATAAATGAGAAAAGATCTGAAGTTAGCAAAAAATTCCACTTGAATCTTTCTAAACATTTAAAAATATTTCCACATAATTCATCTTTTACAAGCAACAGGCACTAAAATATAGGTTAAAAATTCAAATGTCACTGAACTAAAGAAAAATTTATCTTTAATAGGAGAACTGTACAAAACTCCAGAATTTGAAGGTACATTTTTAAGCATTTTGATTCTTTAATGGAGTCTCTTTTCTAGACTTCAATAATTCCAAATAAGATAATAAAATTTCACCTTCATTAGTAGCTCCTCGTGGTGCTGGTTATTAGAATCATAAGGACTTTTTCTCACATTTTCAACATCCAGATAGAGCTGCTTATAGCCAGATATCTGCAATAAACATGCTTTCATGCGGATTTTAAACCTGAAATGTATAAACAGGAAAAAAAAAGTTAGGTAAGATGTCCTTGCCATGCACGAGAGAGAGAAAGTAGTCACTATTCAAAGATTACCAGCCAAACTCATTATAAATTGGATACTGGCTGGATTACTTGCTAGTGTTCCATGACTTTCAATTCAAGTAAGTATTTCATTGCCTGTTTTGTATTTAGCACTAAATAGTAAGCAGAATAAAGGAAAAGGGGAAATAAAAGCAAAGAAGTAAAGGAGAGCAAGAAAAGAGAGGGTTGACAACAGGGCTAACTGTGAGAAAATAACACCTCCTCAAATGTGGGCTAAGTATTTTCACACGCTTAATGTAAGTCAATATTGTTTCCTTTAACATGCAAATGTGTTATGCATGAAACACTAGATGGAACTATTTTAAGGCAAATGATAGATAAGTTGGGGAAAGCAAATAATAGGGGGAGAGTTGTAAAAAGCTAACATGTAATACATGCAAGAAGACAGGAAAAGCAAAATTAAAAAGAATAAACTTAAAGAGATTATGAGAACAGCAGATCAATTAAAAAGACAGAGGTGAGATGATCACTGACAGACCGAGTATGCTAGAGCAGGGCTTCTTAAAATTTTTCCACTTCTGACCCCTTCAGTGCTTCTTAAACTGTGGGTCACAATTCACAGTGAGTTGTATGGGTCCTGAGGCACAGTTTAAGAAGCACTGTAGAGTCCAAAAAAGCCTCTAGAAAGCTAAAGCTGAAAGGCTCTAGACAAAAGAGAAATGGCAAGACTTTCTAAGACATGCCAAGGGAACATCAGTCAACCTGGGAGAGGAAACAGTCCTAAATCAACATAGTTTCAAACAAATGAACTCAGAATCAAAACAAAAACTCAGTTCTTCAGAGAACAAAAAGGGACTAGCCAAAAGAACTTAACTCCCAGAAAGAGCCTGAAGACTAAGGGAAAGTGATAATAAGGAGCATTTGGAAAGAACTATTTAGTGCTTTTTAAACCCATGCAAAACACAGTATCACGAATTGTATTTGTGATATTGCTCACACTTTATAGTTTGAAGCCAAGATTTTCTCACTCTAAATTGAATTTTATTATACACTTGAACCACCTGTGCATGCAAACTAGCAATGGATGGGATATCAACGGAAAAAGCCAAAGAGGATGGGGGTAGGAGGCAAGATTCAAAAGCAGTCTTTGACAAAAGAAACTTAATCACTTCTTACCCAACCTGAGCTAAATTTTGAAGAATACTTGGGAATTCTATAATGTGGAAGTGAAAGGGGAGGGAATTTGAGGAATGAGGGACAGCCTGTGCAAAGGAACAGAGATGGGAGGAGAAAAGCTGAAAAACACAGCAAGCAGAGCAGTTTGGCTAAGGCTGTAGTTATTTAAGTCAAAACACTGAGGCTGCTTTAAACTTTCTTACTCCTGCTAAGCAGAAAATTCTTTTATAGAAAAAGGAAAGCTGATTATATGCTTATCTTGTTATAATACTTGATATGACATGAAATTCAGTATAAGGTAAATCCACCTTGAACTCCATCAAAAGAAATACTACCAGAAATATCATTGGAACCTCATTATAAGTGTTTTACCTTCAACATGATCCCACAACAAAAGCTCTCTGGTGCCTAAGAAAAAGTCAAAACTTATTCCTTAGACTGATATTTAAGGCATTCAACATTTTTAGTTTTATCTGCCACTCTATGAGACTATGGGCCATCCAAATTGGTCTTCCATGTTCCCCAAATATGCCTTTAAACTTCCCACCCTCTCCTTTCAAAGGATTTAGAGATGGAATGGATTTTAGGGATGACACAGAGTTTACATTTCCTTTTACTGTGGTTATGTACTTGATTCATCTACCACTACACTAGAAGAAACTCGAAAGCAGAAAGAATATTATTTGACTTTCCTGGTTATGCTGTCACATGGGTCAAAAAGCCTGTGGTTACCTATTTTGCCATTAAATGGAAGGCCTATACAGCCAGCAAAGTAATACTTTGAGTAAAGGAGACTGTTTTCCAAGATTTGCCCAAAAAATGTCAGGGTTCATAATCAGAGGTACTGGAACTTTTTTTAAAATGCATTTTGAGGGGCAGCTAGGTGGTGCAGTGGATAGAGCACTGGCCCTGAAGTCAGGAGGACCTGAGTTCAAATCCAGCCTCAGACCAAACACTTGACATGTACTAGCTGTGTGACCTTGGGCAAGTCACTTAATCCTGACTGCCTCACCGAAAAAAAAAAATGCATTTTGAGGGGCAGCTAGGTGGCACAGTGGATAGAGCACTGGCCCTGGATTCAGCAGGAACTGAATTCAAATCCAGACTCAGATACATAATGTTTACTAGCTTGTGTGACCCTGGGCAAGTCACTTAACCTTATTGCCTAGCTCTCCCCTCCCAAAAAAAAATTTTGATCTCTAGTTCTAGCTCTACAATTTTATAACATCTATAATTGACAGGAAACTAACTACCCAGGCACAATTAAATAGAAACACAAAAGATATTAACCAAGCAGCTTCCATACCGTCTGTCCTTTTTTGGTTTAATATTCTTTTCTTTCATTATATCTTCTACACATTCTTCAACTTCATTGTGATTGACAGATGTGGCATTTTGTAAAACCTATTAATATTTTAAAGAGAAGATAAGAAGGCAAAACTCAGTTAACAAATATAAGCTAAAATATAAGAACAAGAGGGTTTGAGACATTAAGTTAATTCAGTTCAATTCAACACTCATTAAACATTAAAGAGCTATTATGTTCAAGACACTGTGCCAGGCTCTGGGAATACAAAGACAAAAAACAAAATAATTCCTGACCTCATGCTTATATAGGAAGCACACAAATGTGTAAATGTAAGATAACTTACAGAGAGAATGGAAATAGGGAACTGGGTGGCTGTTACAACAGTCCAGGTGAAAAGTGATAAAGGCCTGATAATTGTAGCCATGTGAGTGGAGAAAAGGGGACAAATATGGATAGCTACAGTGATAGATAACATATACAAAATAATAATATACAATAACAATAGAAAACATAATATTTTATCTATTTATCTATAGACATCTGAGACAGGGAGACCTCAGAGGCATGAGGTACTTAAGAGATGACAATTCTGGATGACTAGAGAATTAAAATGGCCTTAAAGAAAAAGCAAAGTCAGAGGAAGAACAGGTTTAGGGAGAAAGTTGATAGTTTTTAAACTTGAAATTGTCACCAATTCCATTTTAAATTCAATTCTGAAGCTAGTATCATTTAAGACAATTACTCAGTAACTGATAGGTGTAATAGCTGTAGAGATAAAACCTGAGTCAGAAAACTTTAATCCCTGTGAATCACACTGCAACATTAAAGTCTCTATGCCTGTTTTCTCCACAAACCCTCTACAGGTTTGTCCAAGCTGCCGCCAAATACTAGAATATTTTGCCTTCTCCATTCCAAATCTCACAGTCCTTATATTTCTTCAAAAAGTGTGAGTTGTCCTAAGCCTTGCCTGATTTCCCAGTTATTACTCAGTTATTATTTCCAGTTATTATCTCCCTCCACAAAATTATCCACCATTTACTAGCATAAGTTGCTTAAAGAGAAAGCGATGTACAGTATTTGAAAGAAAAATAATAGCCTTAAAAAAAAGTTTGTTCTTTAGGGGCAGCTAGGTGGTACAGTGGATAGAGCACCGGCCCTGAAGTCAGGAGGACCTGAGTTCAAATCCAGCCTCATACCAAACACTTGACACTAACTAGTTGTATGACCCTGGGCAAGTCACTTAACCCCAATAGCCTTAAAAAAAAAAAAGAAAGAAAAAAAGAAAAATAAGAGTCTGACTAGTAGACAATATGTAAAAAATAATTTCTTTCACAAAATATGAAGACTGAAAGAATCCATGATCAAAAGCCATAAAATCATAAAGGCTAGACACATAAAAAAGGACTGAGGATTTATCCATAAAATCCTAGAATTGCAGAACTAAGGGACAGTCACTGAAGCTTCCATTAGTACCCAAGAACAAATAAATATACTGTTTTACCCAACAGGTTGCAAATTTATAATATATATTACTCCCCACCTGGGAGGTAGATGAAGATAAAAGTAAAACAGGTTTAAGAAAGGCTTAAACTAAATAAGAGATTAATAAATCACTCACTAAAGACAATTATGGATCATAGCTGACATTTATAGAGCACATTAAGGTTTACAAAGTGTCTCATATACATTGTCTACCATTGGAAATGAAGATAGCTGTTATCGGGACATAGAGTCTGGCCCCATTATTGTTCTCATATACCTGTTTTCAAGTGCACATGGTCCTAGGTCAAATTTTCATATCAAAGTTCTTTAGGGATACAATCCGTACACAAAAAATCTGTAACCACCCTCAATTCACCAAATATTGCCATTTACATATAACTTTCCTAATTATATATGAGTAATTTCAAATGAATTGAAAACTGTTCTTAAATATTTTAAATGTTATTTCACTGTCCACTTATAGAGCAAACCCATTTTTCATAGAACAAAGATGTGTAGCAGAAGCCATTAGCATTTTCACAAATTTTCAATTATAAAATTTGAATAAATTTCACTGTCCATGGTATATAAGAATGAAATATAGTATATGTCACAAATTTTTAAAATTTATAAACAAAAGATTTTCCATGCACTGGCAAGTTTAGCATAGGCTTAGCACAGTGCCTGGTACCTATTAAGGGCTTAACAACTGTTAGATCTATTAATTTCCTCATATAATCCAGGCCTTCACAATTCTTTTCAAGTCAACACAGACAGAAGTTGGCAGGCTAAGGTGGTACGAGCACTTGAGCACTGGGTTTGAATGCTGCGACACCCACTGGTTGAAGGACCATGGGCTAGGATCTTAACCTGCCTGGGCCTCAGTTTCCTCAGTGATAAAATGGGTACAATCTCACCTCTAGCACCTTCCTACCAGGGCTGTTGTGAAGAAACTCTTTTACAACACTTAAGGCATTAAAGAAATACAAGCAATTGTTATTCCCCTAACTCAAAGTCAAGATATTATTAAAACTGTATGTGCTCTTAAGTACTTTTCTTTAACCTCCTGCAACAACTCTGGCCCACAATCTGCTTTCTTTGAACTCCTGGTGTACATAGCAAGTAACACTATCTAGCATTTAACTGTCTTCCTAGATCAAAAGCTTCTGGAGGGTAAGAACCACAGATGTGGTTATTGATCTGGAAGGATAATGCTTTGTTTGTTTTCTTAAGTCACATACTGTTTAACACAAGTTAAGCACGATTTTTATCTAGGAGGGGGCAGGTTTTGGTCTAGACCTGATAGGATGATGTCATCCTATCAATGTGGGAAGTTCCTGGTGTAGAAACTCCATGTACTTATGCCTCTCAGGAACTCTTCTGTATCTTACAGCCTTAGAGAGTTGCCTGGGACACTCAGATATCAAGTGAAGTGCCCATGGTCCGAGAGGCTGTCTCAGAGGTAGAACGTGAACCCAGATCTTCCTGGCTTCAAGGTCAGACCCTTAATCTTCATTTCATGTTAATGTTAATAAACCCTTGAGACCTCAAATATTTTGCTGTAGTCAAACTGAGTTATAAAGAGTCCATCAATACATATGGCATTCAGTTTATAGAATGCCAAAATCAAACAGGTGATTCCAGAACTTTTTGTTTTGGTGAATTATCAAATAAAAAATAAAATCAGTGCTTTTCAACTTAGTAAAAGAAATGTTTCATGTGCATGCCATTCCTTTCCTGCTCCAACTACCAGCTCCCAGATAATCTGAGGTGATTTTGTTTGCTGAGTGTATCTAGAGACTTTAGGTGAGCTTCTTGGCAAAGTGGTGGGGTACTAGCACTGCAAATGGCCCAAGGGAAGTCAACAGGTGCTCATTCCCGGCCCAGGAAACAACAGCTCCCAAAGTGTGGTCCTCTGGGACCACAGGCCATTCAGCTTACTGGATTCAAGTCATTCAACTGAGTTAGCTTCCTCTATAACATGGCAATGTTTGCATTTGTTTTGACGTAGATACCTTTCTTCTACTCTATCTCTCTGACAGCTCACCAAAAGTAATGCTTTTCTTCATTAATTCTGCTAAGGTTTTCGGTAGCAATAAGAGTAGTAAAGCTAGTATACAACTTTTTATTCCACCAAAGCAATCTGTATTTTTTTTAAAAAATTTGAGAATTAGAGTCCTACAGGAAATTAATGTAGAGAGCAGGTATGCCATCCTTCGAATTAAAAGACCAGGACCCTCTGTAACTAGCTGAGTATGTCTTCTCCTATTTCAGACCAAGCTAGCCATCCACCCTGATGTGCACAATCTTGAGGAGATGCACTATCAAAGAATGAAATCTGGATTTGGAGTCAGCACATGTGGGTCTGAGTTCCAGTGTCGTCCCTGACTAGATGTGTAAACTCGAGCCAGTTTCTTCATCTCATCTCTGTAGGATTCAGTGTTCTCATTCATCAAAAAAAAAAAAAAATGGATGGAGGGTCCTAAATGATCTCTATGATTCCTTTCAGCTCTAGTGTTCTGTGAGGCAATGAGAATCTGTGGGAAGTCTTCCTCTCAGACTTCTGTACTTTCAAAAACTAGTTTTTACCACTGTCAAGACAAAAAAAAAACTTTAGAATAGCACAATTAATTCTATTTTTAATGTCTTACTTATTCATGAAGACATTTTAAAAAGATATATAACAAATGAAAAAAGAAAAGACTTTGACTTGACAGTAATTGTGTTGATGTATATAGCCTAATGACAATGAATATCAAATTCTAAAATAAAGGAATGTCGTTAGAATTTTAAAGGCAATATATATCCAAGCTGATGCACAATGTCAGAAGTCTAATTTTGATATGATCCTACCTGATTCTTTGAGAGGGCCAAAGCATTTTCTGAAATGAAAAAAAAAAAATTACATGACCTAAATGCTCATCTAATTAGCAAATTTATATAGCAAAATTAGTCAAAATGTCAAATCCAGTACCAAAGTATGTTCACAGTTATATAATAAATTCAATATGGATAAAAAAAAAACAAATTTTTTGATAGAATAACTTCTAAAAGTACCATTATGAGCACTAAGTAATATAACTGAAAACAAGGGGAAAAAAGTCTCTCTGATGTGAGGCTTCACTGGATAAGAACATAGCAAGATTATCATGCTGTAGCTTCAAAACAAATCCAGGACTGGCCCAGGACAGAGGTCTGGGTGACTACTGATTCTAAAAACTCAGGGAAAAAAAGTGGTTTGTTTCAAGTTATTTCTATAGCAGACCACAGATGATGCCAGGGTCCTGATTAAAACAAGTCTGTACCAACAAATGGGTCTATGGATCATATACACTCTTTGAAATTATCAGTAACTGTCCACATCACCAACGGCCTCCAGATCAAAGCAAATCCATCTAGGCCTACTCTAGCCTAGACTAAAGCCCAGAAACCAGGCCAATCTTAGAAATGTACATGATATATTCCTTTGGGTAGATGCTGGATTTGGGGGAATAAGTGAATCAAAATACATAAAATAACAGGTTGCATAAGTAAAGCATCTTCATATTACCTGACCAAGCCTTCTGACTAAACAATTACAACATCAATAGATTTGAAAAAACCTGTGTCATTTTTAAAATTCTTAGCATACCGCCCCCCAAGAAGGACAAGCAAAGTTAAATGAAAAGAACACTGTCACCAATAATATTTACTTGATTAATTCCATTTCTGGAGTCTTTTCTTTCCCTATATTCTAAGAAGAAAATAAAGAGAAATGTTTTCTTCTATAGATTTCTCCTAACAGACACTCTCTTTCTCCCCTTTAGCAGTGCTATTACAGGCATCTTAAGAAGAAGACATTTAGCTCTTTGCCCAAATAAAAATGAGTAGCCAGCTGATTACTACTAGCTCAAGAGAAAAGCCGTCAGTATAGTTCTCTACCTCTGAGTCCTACTCTGTCCTTATCTTTTCTGGGTCCCCTGGTGGTGGCAGTGAGCTGAGTTCAGAATCTAAACAAGTTCACCAAAGTGGGATAAGAAGTGTAATAAACTGGGGCTGCAGCTGGCCATTCTTACCTTGGACTAAAGATATTTTCTTACCTTTCACACCTGAAACTTAAGGGAAAGAAAACTAAACATAAAAACAACCTTTCAATCACATGCAAATTATCTCCCAGTTTCTGTCACACATCTGAAATCTTATTTAAAGCAGTCTTCAAGCACTGTGGAACTGATTAAGGATGAAAAGTTGTTTAAGCAGATCTAAATTATAATTAACTATACTACTGATTACAGTGTAACAATCTCAAAGACTAAAGGCTGCTTAATGTAGAAGTAGCATTGGATCTAGGCATTCTTCCAGCCAGAGAAGGGGAGCAAGAGAAAATTATGAAAATAAATAGAATTTTGTTTTTTGCTGAAGCGTGCCTTTAACCGAGGAAACAAATGAGAAATTCAAGACTCTTAAACAACTGCCAAGTGAATCTACTACGAATATTAAACAGATTTGCTATAGGTTTTTACTTTTAAAATGTTACCTATCTTGTGTGTTCTTTCTCCACCAACAAAACCTTCACAGATTCGCTGCAGTTCACATTTTCTGGTGACCATTCGAAAAATCCACTTCATCCAAAATCGAAAAAAATGCCGATACAGGTACTGCCACATGGAAATTAACATTTTCTGGTGAAAGGAAAATTATAACACATACAATAAGTAATCTGAAATAAAGTTTTATGAATATAAAAATTATAGTTTAACTGGGTAACCAAATTCCAAATTCTATTCAAAATTATTTGCTTCTGCAAATATAGGTTTACTTGGTGACTGGTTTTAGTTAACCATTCAGGAAAATAAACTAAAAGATTCAATATAAAAAAGTAGATCTCATTAGTGAAATAAATTACAAATAAACATTTTTCTCAAAATGAACTTTTAAAAAATCAGACCAGCTTTTATGAGCTGTATTCTTCACTAGTGAGTTATAATTTCCACAATTCAATCCTGGGTACTAAACTCTTGTTCTAGCAATGGGTGGTACCAATTCAGCAACAGGATGCAGTCCTTCCCATGTAGCAAACCATTGTTTTTAAAAACATATTTACTAGTACTAAAACTCAGTTGAAGAGGTATGAATCTGCAATAGAAGACGAGTTTCCTCACTGGAGAGGTTTCCTATACCAGAGAAATCATAGGTCTAATATCTATCACTATCATTTTCACTAGTACAGTAGTTTTGATAGAGCAAGATAATTTATAATCCCAAGTTTCCCTAAAACTCAACATCCACCTACAGTGAATGGATTTGGCTAAGCAAAAACCAAAACCAAAAAATACTAGGGGCTGTGAATGGATTGTTTAGCTGAAGCACACATGTTCAACACACATGTGGTCCTTTTTGTTGAGTCCAGATTTTCTGTCTAAAAGTGAACTAAAAGTAGATGCTAATAATAGTTTACCAGGGCTTTAAATTTTACACATTTTACAAAACCTCATTCAATCTTTGCAATCCTGTGAGGTAAGTACAAATATCCCATTTTACAGGTAAAGAAACAAATATTATCCCATGTTATAGGTAAGGAAAGAAAATAGGTGAGGTAGGGCTTGTTAGGGGCAGAACCTGAATTTGATCCCAAGTGACTTCTGACTCAGTCTAAGGCTCTTTCCTACAAGAAACAGCCTGACTCAAAAACAAAAACAAAAGAAAAAAAAAGAAATAGCCTGACTCTGAAAAACTAATACAGTACTATAGCATCTTGAGTGAGACCAACAGCATTGAAGGTAAAATAAAACCACTAAATGTCTCATTTCTGCCCTCAAACGTTCCATACTGACCGAGCTCCCTGCTGCATTAGCAAAACCATTAAATTCAATCCTGAAAGTCAATGCACGATCACTATACACTTGACTTCTACTATAGGGGCACCAAAAGCAGGCTGAAAGGGGACTTCTGGTGGAATCAATAAAAGAAACATACTGCAACTGAAGTCTGGTTTGAAACCTGGTTTTGATTACTCCTTGCCATATCCACTTCACAGCGTTTTGGAAAAACATTTTGTATACACCAAAGTATAATATAAATTTGAATTTATTATAATCTGGGAAATCACTTCACCACTTGGGCCCTCAGTTTCCTCATCAGCAAAACGAAGAGGAATGGAGCAGATGACCACTACTGAAGTTGGAGCTGCTACCAAGGCACGGACGACAAAAGCTTTTATAAGGCAAACCCCCAACCATCATAGGATCACAGATGTTGTATGCGTCCACCTTTTGATCTTACAGAAAACTGAGGCTGAGACTGAGGAAGTGATTTATCCAGGATTCCACAGTAGCAAAGACAGGATTTGAACCCATGTCCTGACTCTGAATCCTCTTTCTAGCTGTTTTCACCACTACGGGTTTCCCCTGGTGACCTGTCACAGCCCGTTAGGCTGACAGAAGCAAAGATTTAAGCTGGAAAGGACCTTCACTGTCATTTGTCCAAAAACTCTCATTTAAAGAAGGGGAAACTGAGGGTAGGGGTGATTGGCGGGTGAGATAGAACGCAGGCGGGGGCTTTTGTGGGGGTGGGGCCCCACGCGCCTCCAGAGCTGGCGCATGCGTACTCCGGTCGCGTAGCCCCCCACGCCCCTTTTCCCTCCCGAGAGAGACGAGAAATCCGGGTCTCTCGCGCCCCTTCTCCCGAAACCCCCGCGAGACCCAAGCGGGTCAGGCCGCCTGAGGACAAAGGGGCTGAGGGCGCGGGAGAGACAAGTGCAGCCTCCTCACATTCTAGGAAGAACGCGCGGGAGCTTGACTGACTCGTGACCCCCGCTCCCGTATCCGCCGCTGCTGCCGCTCCTGCTGCCGCTGCCGTCAGCCTGCCACGGACGGAAACGACGCCGCTCTCAGCCTTCTCACCCCCACGCCCTGTGACCCGGAAGTCGGCCCCGGAGCCCGCCCGCCGCCGCCCTGCCCCGCCTTGCTCCTCCCTTATTGGTCGAGGGCCTGCCCTATCGCCTTGGTGGAAGGAGGCGGAGTCTGGTTCCGCACTGGATGCCTGTCCTGGAGACGCTCAGGCGGTCTCCTTGGCAACAGCACCCAGTGCCGCCTGCCGGAAGCCTCGGCCAATTCGAGCTTGCAGGCTGGCCAACCCAGGGAGATGTGAGGCAAGTGTGGGCGCGTGCGGCGGGGCCGCCCCCTGCCCGCACCCTTAGGAGTGGGGTGCAGGAATGCAAGAAATCTTGGGCGTGGGAAGCATTTCGTGGGCAGAGTTTAAGTCTTCTCTGTTTTTCGCTTCCACTCCCACTAAATTCAGGTGCACCTTTAGCGGGTCTTTACTATCTGTACCCTACTCATTGGTGTCCCCATTCCCAGCCATCCTGCAAGCTGTTGCCAAGAGCTGTGGACTTCAATCTTGCGACATCTCTCAAATACGACCCCTTCTCTCCTCTGATGCAGGGCATCATCACTCCATGCCGGGACCACACACACACACACACACACACACACACACACACACACACACACCCTGCTTCTTTCCAGTCTTCTTATATCTTACTCCTCTCCCGGGTACTTTTCTATCCAGGAACACTGGCCTCCTGATTGTTCCGAAAACAAGACACTCCATCTCTCAGCTCCTCTAACTCCCAGGCCTGGAATGTTCTCCCTCCTCTGACTTCCTCCAAGTGCAACTAAAATTCTACGTTCTCCAAGAAACAGCTCCCAAGCCCTCTTAATTCTAACTTCCCTCTGATGATTATTTCCTATTTAACCTAGATATAGCTGGTTTTAACATATCTGTTTGCTTGTTGTCTCCTTCATTAAACTGTGAGCTCCTTGAGAGCAGAGACTATCTTTTGCTTCTTTTTGTGTTTCCACCTCTTAGCACACTGTCTGGCATGTAGTAAGCTTTTAATAAATGCTTATGAACTGACTACTGCCAGACAAATCTTTTCTTAGAAGAGATTTGTTTTAGGAAAGTAATTCATAACATCATAGATATAAAGTAGAAGGGGATCTCAGAGCCCGTTGAATTGAACTCCCTCATTTTCCAGATCAGTCAGCAAGTATTTATCAAGTGCCTACTGTATGCTTTGTGCTGGAGATACAAATAGACTGAAGGAAACAATCCCTACTGGCAAAGAGCCTATGTACAGAGGAAGCAATAAAGATATATGTGTGTGTATACATATATAAAAAATGTGTGTATATGTGTGTGTGTATATATATGTATATATATACACACACACATATATGGGATAGGGAAACAAGGATATACATACATGTGTCTATATAGACATGTGTATATACATAGATGTATATGCATAGATACATCTATATAGTCACACATACTACTGAATATATACATATATTCATATACTTACACATACACATATGCATATATGAGAGGGTAGGGCCTGGACTTGGGATTGGATTGCTGAGCAAACTCCTAGCAAAGCAGTCTGGCATTTCTCTGCAGTTTAAAATCTAGTTTGCCTAGAGCAATGAAAAGTTAAGTGACTTGCCCACAGGGACATTAGGTGTCAGATGACTATAAGTGTTTACAGAACAGATGAATATAAGGGAATTACATACTGCAGGGTAATTTGAAAGTGGATCAGGAAGACTCCTTTAAACACAGCTGGCTTGCTTCCAGCAAAACTTCTAAGTACAGCCCAAATCAAGTTAAAATGTAATTGGGATGGGGCAGCTAGGTGGCACAGTGGATAGAGCACAGGCCCTGGAGTCCAGAGACTGAGTTAAATCCAGCCTCAGACTCATAACACTCATTAACTGTGTGACTGGACAAGTCACTTAACCTCAATTGCCTTACCAAAAAAAAAAAGTCAAAACCAATAAAATGTAATTGAGAAATATTTAACAAAATAAATAAAAATGCAATATAACATGATGTTAATTTGTGTTTTTCTAAGGCGATATGTGGTCCATAGGGATTCATTTCTATTTGAGTTCGACACCAATGTTGTAGAAGATGGTGTTTGAGCTGTTCCTTGAAGGAAGAGCTTCTTTGGGGCCTAAGTGAGGAGGTAGCGCCCTTCCAGGCATGGGAGAGAGCACCAAGGCCCTGAGAGATGGGGTGTCCTGTAAGAGGACACACAGCTACTAAGCATCAGAGGGGAGATTTGAACCCAGGTCTTTTGACTCTAAAGTTAAGGTCTTTCCTCCATTATCTTTGACAGCAGAGGAAAGCTAACCATTTGCTGAGGACATGACAAAGGAGATTCTTGTTCAGGTAAAGATTGAACTAAATAACTGAATAAAGGTTGCTTTAAACTCTGGGGGTTTACTACTCTGCAGTCATTCATAACCATTCATAACTTCTATGAGGGTAGACAGGGAAGAAACCAACTCCATCACGGCTAGTTTATCCTAAAAGAGGTCAGAAATACCTGTAATCATCCACCAGTGCCACTTCATTCCACATAGGGTTTTGGTTAATGGCCTGAAAGGAAGTAGGCTTCTTCCACACTTAGATCTCTACCTCCCAGCATTGCATCCTCATTCAGATCCTCTAGAAGAGGGATTTCCTCCTCTCCCCTCCCCCCAGTAATAAATAGTGGTACCCACTACTTGGTTCTGTTGGATAGAGAATAAATTGGGAATCCCATCTTCATATAATTGATGGGCTCTGGGCAGCAAGACACTAGTACAGGTTGGCATTTGTTAACTCTTTAACCATCCCTAAACATTTAAGAGGAGTAAGAAACTGAAAATAAAAGGGGTAACCATCAGTTAAGAAATGGCTGAACAAACTGTGATATATGAATGTATTGGACTATCACTTTACTATAGTATACAACAAATAAGAAGAATTCAAAGTGAAATGGGTGAAAAGAACAACGTACAAAATGACCACAATAATATGCAAGAAAACTAAACCTAAAAACATCAGAATTCAGATCAATGCAATTAACTCCAGGGGACTAATGATAAAACACGTCTTTCTCTTCTTAGTAGAGAAGTGGTAGATTATTGTTGTTCAATTGTGTTTGACTCTTGGTAACCCCATTTGAGGTTTTCTTGGGAAATAAAAAAAGTGGTTTCTCATTTCCTTCTCCAGCTCATTTTGCAGATGAAGAAAGAGAGACAAACGGTGTTAAATGACTTGCCCAGGATCACACAGCTGGTAAATGTCTGAGGCTGGATTTGAACTTGGGTCTTTCTGACTCCAAGCCCAGTGGTCCGGCCAACTGTGCCACCTAATTGCCCATATTCTAGCCTGTAGTTTTGCTTTATTCATCGTAATACTAAGAGGAAACACCCTCACTATCTGTAGAAGGGCTCTAGGAAAAGGAGAAAGAAGGCAAGAAAACTAGTTCTACCCAGGCTGGCTATCACTTCAGGCTAAATAAATGGGTGAGACATCTTAACTCAAGTCCTAGTGCCCCTAAGAAATGTGCCCACAGGATGATAGGGAACTTGTCCAAGGCAAGATTAAAATTTAGTCTTTATGTGGGAGAGAAGAATCCCTGACTCCAAACCAAATGTTATGGGAATGTAAATCCATTAGTAATTTTTGAGCAGTAGAGTGATGATAATGGGTGTTTGTTTTTGTCTTTGGAAAATAAATCAGGCAATGGTATTGGATATGTAGATTGGAAAGGGAAGACACTAGAGTCAGACAGAAAGCTTGGGAAATTTCGCTATTGCTTTTCCTGCATTCAATTCGTTGGTTATTAATAACGTGCATATATATGTATTATATATGTCTCTACTTGTAGATGGATAGGTAGATAGATATAATTGGGAAATATGAAGTCACTGCGACAAGCTAAGGACCATTCAGGCTTCATTGTGGAGGTACAAGGAAATGCTAGCTCCACTCAGACTCATAGAACCCATACTGTTAGATTACCAATGAAAATATATGAGATGATGAGGATCTAGGATCAAGTAATGATGCAAATGAAAAGCAAGAAAAATGTTTTAGATCCCTGGCAAAGAAAGAATTGGTAAGTGTCGGCAAATGAGTGAGGAAAAGAAGGAAGAAGAAGAAAAGGAAATGATAAACCATTGGTTTGAGGGTAAGATAATGAGGACAGTTTGCATTATATAAATTAATTTGAGGCGACAGTCAGTCATTCAAAAGGGAATATCCATCAAGCAGTTAGACATGAATCTGGTATGCAGGAGAGAAGTCTAGGATGGAAATGATTTCTACATGTTCCATGATATACAAGTCTACCTTCACTGGACTAGATACATGTAGGAGTTTGATCAGTAGATGGCAGCAGAAACCTATGGTATCGGTGAGACTTTAGCATGGCCACCATCATTATTCTGTTTTGTCTCCGTAGTCCTAACACCTCGTGCAGTGCCTGAAGCAGAGTAGCTTGATAAATGCTGGCTGAGTAATAATTACATGATGGAATCATTAGAGTCAAAGCTGGAAGGGACCTTAGAGGGTCCCTAGTCTAACTCCCCCATTGCCTCTGCCATTTTTCAGTCCAGTGAGAAAAGGTGTCTTACTCAACATCACACAGATGGGTCTAGAACCTAAGGCTTCTGATACTCAGGCCAGTACTCTTTCAACTATACCATATTACTTCCTAGGCTTAAAAGAATATATAGTAGCATTCCCATGAAATCGTTTATCGATACAATTAAATGTTTAATGTGACAATATTGCAGACAGAAATATATTCATCTTTGGAGTTAACTCATCCTTATTAACCCAGCCCAAGTGATGTCTCTGCCTGAGCTCATGACTCCACTCTTTGGTATGATCTCATTAACTCGAGTTTTAAGTGGCAGAATCATAATTACTTCCTGACATCCACCTTATCTCTTTCTTTTCTTATGTTCCCCATGCCTCATAGGTTTCCTTCCTTCCCTCTTCATTTGCCATCACT